AGGCAAGGGGCAAGGGCAACCAGTCCTCGGCGGCGTTGGAGGCGCAGCTGGAGGCGGTCATCAAGGACCGCGGGGGCACCGAGCAGGCAAGGGCGGCCCGGGCCTTGCTGGACGCTACTCGGGCCGCGGACAAGAAGCTCGAGTCGACGCGGCCCGTCACGCAGCAGGTGACAGCGGCGGCGTCGAAGGTCCAGAGGGCGCAGTCGGCATTCGACAAGGCGCAGGCGCAGCAGCGCAAGCTGTCGATGGAGCTCGAGAAGTGCAAGGCCTCCTCGCAGGAGGCGGCGAGCACCCTGGCGAAAGCAGAGGCCGAGAGGGCCACGCCCTTCCGCTCCATGGTGCCAGCCACTGCTGCTGCCGCAGGTGCTACAGTGCAAGGAGGCACCATCGACTTGTCGGCGCTGCTGTCGGCGTCGAATGTGGAGGAATCGATGTTTTCGATCTCTCCTGTCGACGTCGAGTGTGGAGGAATCGATGTTGTCGATCTCTCTTGGCGAGGAGTTCAGCAACGCCGACGGCCACGTGGAGCAGAGCGACGTCGACGAGCCGGATGAGAGAAAGAAGGCGGTGATGGAGGCGCTGATGCACATGGTGAAGGCGGCGTTCGGCGAGGCGCATGAGAAGCGGAAGGAGCACCGTGAGAAGCTCTCGGAGATGCGCGAGAAGGTCACCAAGCGCCGCAAGGAGCACTCCCCCGCGCCGCCGCCCCGCAGCAGGGGCGGGCAGCGCAGGGGGCGTCGGCGTCGGCAGCGGCTGCCGGGCAGGCTGATGGCCATGCTGGGCAGGCGGTCGCGGACGATCCCGACGCAGTTGAAAAGGCCAGATTGGCAGCTCTCGAGCTGAAGCTGAAGACGGATGCGGAGGCGATGTTGGCTGCAGCCAGGTCTGCGGCGAGCACGGAGGCAGCGTCGTCTCTGTAGCATGAGTGGCCCCCTCGAACATGGCGGGCCCGTTGGTTCGAGGGGCATGCCTGCCAGCTACGACTTCGAGTTCGGCCCCTACATGTTCACAGATCTTCTCCTCCCCACGCGGAGCCTACGGCCGTGGCGGCAGTCCCAGCGCAGGCCTGGACCCCTCCGCCCCCGTCCCTCTCCCAGGCGCGATGGCCCCTGCGAGGATAGCGCCCGGGGTGCAGCAAGAGGCCTCGGGGGAGGAGTCGGGAGGGATGCTGGGCAGCGCAGGGCAGCCAGCCGCGGCAGACAGTGCGGTGTGTGCGCGGCGATCTCTGTGTATGCGAAACCTGGGAGGTTGGGGCCCTGCTACGCGCTCGTTTTGTCGTGTTCGTGTTGCGGATGTCATCATGTTCCCCTGGACCCGCATTCCTTCGACGGACTCTCTCGAGTTGTTGCACGAGTGACGAAAGGCGGGTTACATCGGCATGCTTTCGGCCGCGTGTGAGGCCAACGGCAAGAGTCGAGCGGGTGGCATCACCATGGGCACTCTGAAAAAATTCAAGGTGCAGTCGATGCAGCACTTGGCGACGTCGGCCTCGGACCAAGTTGGCTTGCGCGACCTTGATGGTGTGAAGGACCAGCCAGGCATCGACTTTCGGGACATGGTGGCCATGCAGTTGCGAGCCCGTCGCCAGTCGCTGTTGATTGTAGGCGTGTATATGACGTCGTCGGTGGGGCCCAAGGCGAACGCTCCCAAATTGGCCAATGTGGGCACCCTGGTCTCTACCATCCAAGGACCGTGGCTGGCCATCGGCGACTGGAACATGACGCCGAAAGAGTTGGCGGGCACGGGCTGGCTATCACTGGCGAACGGATCCGTCGTCGTGCCGCCCAACACGCAGCACACGTGCACCCTGGGATCAGCGCGAATGTTGGATTACATCATAGTCATGGGGGAAGGAAGCCCCCCAGACCCCCCCGAAGCCCCCCTGGGGGAAAAACAAAAAACAACAAGAAACACAACAACAACATCAACAACAACAAAATAAAAACAAAAAAAGCCTCGGGGGGAAAGAACAAAAAAGACAAGCCCCGTAGTAGTCTCTCTGCACGCCTCACCCTGGGCCGAGGAGCTGGTGGCAGACTCTCGCGAAGCAGAGGAGGCGGGGAAGGCTCACCACGGGCTGAAGCTCACTCCCAATTTCGACGCCACTCGGGCCAGGGCTCGGCTAATCGAAGGTGCCGAGGGCATTTCCCCATCCTGCGCGGCCCAAGATTGCCGCTGATCCTGATAGCATGAAGGGGCCCTGGGGCACACAAATAAATACACACAAATCACCGGATTCCCCATATTTTCCTACATGTTCTGGGTTTTTGTCTTCCCCCCCCACTTCCCATATTTTCCCATATTTTCCTGGGAGTGGACGATCAATTGTGTCTGTGTGTGTTTTCTTCCCTCCTGATAGCCAGCGGTCTCGGGCTCGTGCTGAAGCCGCGGCTTGGCGAGAGGCGCGGCCGCAGCCTCCAATCACGCCGGCCCTGGCGTCCCAGGGACCCAGTTGCAAGCTTATTGCCAAGAGCCCGCCGCCCTTGCAGCATTCCATGTCTGGTGAAGATGTGGACCCCTCCTCCTCCTCCTCCTCCTCCTCCTCCTCCTTTTCCTCCTCCTCCTCCTCCTCCTCCTCGTCCTCCTCCTCCTCCTCCCGCCCTCCTCCTCGTCCTCCTCCTCCTCCTCCTCCTCTTCCTCCTCCTCCTCTTCCCTCCTCCTCCTCCTTCCTCCTCCTCTCCTCCCTCCTCCTCCTCCTCCTCCTCCTCCTCCTCCTACTCCTCCGCCTCCTCCTCCTCCTCCTCCTCCTCCTCTCCTCCTCCTCCTCCTCCTCCTCTCCTCCTCCTCCTCCTCCTCCTCCTCCTCCTCCTCCTCCTCCTCCTCCTCCTCCTCCTCCTCCTCCTCCTCCTCCTCCTCCTCCCTCCTCTCCTCCCTCCTCCTCCTCCTCCTCCTCCTCCTCCTCCTCCTCCTCCTCCTCCTCCTCCTCCCTCCTCTCCCCCTCCTCCTCCCTCCTCCTCCTCCGCGGTCTTGCGTGCACGAACGTCCGCGTTCAAACGCTGTCCAGCTGGAGCTAACCACGGACGTGTGCATGCGTCGTTGGCCTACGAGGCTGATTATTGTTGTTGTTAATATTTCTATCATTATTACTACTACTATTATCATTACTATTAGTATTACTATTATTATTAGTAGTATTAGTAGTATGTTTTATTATTAGTACTATTAATACTATCATTACGATGCTTATTATCATTAGTATTAGTATTACGATTAGTATGCATTATTACTACTGCAACTACTGCTACTAGTATTACGATTAGTATTATTAGTATTACTATTGTTAGTAATACGATTATTAGTATTATTGTTATTCTTAATATTAGTATTAGTATTAGTAATATGTTTATTGTTAGTAGTGTAATTATTAACAGTAGTATTATTATTGATAATTTCGTTATTAATAATACTATTAATAATAGTATTAGCATGATTAGTAGCACTAGCATTATTAGTACTACTAGTATTACTAGTAGTCATACTATTATGAGCAGTATTAGTAATATTATTAGTGGTAGTATTATTGTTATCATTACTAGCATTAAGATTATTAATATTAGTATAGTTTTATTATTACTATTAACAATATTAGTATTAGTAGCAGTATTAGTTATGGTACTATATTATAATCAGCATTATTGTTATGAATGTTATTGTTAATAGAACTATTACTATTACTACAGTTAGAATGAGTATTAATAGTAGTAGTAGTAGTAGCATTACTATTGTTATTATTATTCGTGTGATTACTATTACTATTATAGTATTAATAGTAATGGTAGTAGTAGTAGTAGTAGTAGCATTGTTAATATTACTGGTACTATTAATGTTAGTGTTGCTAGTGTTAATAGTGTTAGTATAAAGAGTAGTAGTATTAATATTGTTGTTGTTATTATCATGAGTATTAGTATTATTACTATTATTACTGATGTGATTATTATTGGGTTTAAAATTATATTGTTATTATTTTCACTTTTTGTATGTATACTATTTATATTATCATTACTATTATTATTAATATTAACAAAACTATTAGCATTATTAGTATTAATAATATTATTATTGTTCGGCAGCCTCCGCTCATTCTCCTCCTCCTCCTCATCCTCCTCCTCCTCGTCACCCACCTCCTACTCCTCCTCCTCCGCGGTCTTGCGTGCACGAACGTCCGCGTTCAAACGCAGTCCAGCTGGAGCTAACCGCGGACGTGTGCATGCGTCGTTGGCCTACGATGCTTATTATTATTCCTATTGATACTACTATTGTTACTACTACTACTACTACTACTACTACTACTACTACTACTACTACTACTACTACTATCATTACTATTATTAGTAGTATTACAATGATTATTATTAGTACTAATACTATTATTAATAGTTTCAGTATTATTATGGTTATCATTATTACTAGTATTACTATTAGTATTCGCATCCTTATTACTATTACTAGTGATACTATTATTAGTATTAGTAGTAGTAGTAATAGTAGTAGTATTATTATCATCATTGTTGTAATTATTGTTACCAGTATTGTTATTACGATCAGTAGTATTACCATTGTTAATATTATTCATAATAAAAGAAATAATAATAATAATATAGTTAGCATTAGCATTATTAGCATAATTAGTAGTATTAATACTATTATTATTGTTGGTGTTATGATTATTCGCATTGTTAATGTTATGTTTGTTGTTATTATTAGTTCCATTAAAAAAACTATTATCCTCCTCCTACTCCTCCTCCTCCTCCTCCGCGGTCTTGCGTGCACGAACGTCCGCGTTCAAACGCAGTCCAGCGGGAGCTAACCGCGGACGTGTGAATGCGTCGTTGGCCTATGATGCTTTTTCTTTAGCAGTTTCCGCTCCTCCTCCTCCGCCTCCTCCTCCTCCTCCTCCTCCTCCTCCTCCTCCTCCTCCTCCTCCTCCCCCTATTCCTCCTCCTCCTCTTGCGCGGTTTTGCGTGCACGAACGTCCGCGTTCAAACGCAGTCCGACGGGAGCTAACCGCGGACGTGTGCATGCGTCGTTGGCCTATGATGCTTCTTCTTCTTCGGCAGCCTTCGCTCCAGCTCCGCCTCCCGCAGCCTGAACGCCGCACCCTCGGCGTCGATCTTCTCGCAGGCCTCGGCCGCGACCTCGGCGACCTCGGCCGCCACCCCCTCGAGGGTTCTGCGGAGCTCCTGGAGATCGCGGAGGAGGAGGAGGAGGAGGAGGAGCCCCTGCGATCCTGGCGTTCGCGCCGGGCGCTCTCGCCAGAGCTTCGGGCCCCTGGACCGTCATTGATCGGTCGGGCTCAAGAGAAACCTGGCAGAAAGATTGGGCGGTGAGCCCAACAGGGGGGAAGCGCGGTGATGTAGGTCCAGTTTAGTTTTGTTGTTGGTGGAGTTTCTTCTAGGAATGGATTCGTTGCAGAAGTCTTACATATTCAAGTAAAACGTAGAAGATTCAAGCACGTACCATGAAGAGTGGCTTAGATGGTCGCCCTCGGCTACACCTGGACAGCGACTCGTGAAAACGTGGTGCGAGAGAGAGGGGGCAGGCCTCCTCAGAAGGCCCCCTCACTCCCCCCCCCCTGGGGCCGCCGCCGGAAGATGGAGTGCAGGGCTCCGGTCGTGCTGGCTGTCGCTGCTTCGGCTCTCGCTCCGCGCCGTCGCATCTCGGGGGCCCTCGCGGCCCGCCGGCCGCCTCGACGGCCCGGCGGCGAAGGGCCCTCCTGGGCCCCAGCCTGGCGTGCAGGCCCGTCCTGGCCTCAGGCCAGGAGCGCACGCGCACACGCCGTGCCAGGGAGGCGGGTGCGGAGGCCAAGGGAGCGACCGACAAGGCCCACCACCGGCCGATCCCGGGTGCCCCTGGGCCCTCATCTTGGGACGCCCGAGATGAATACGGAAAGAACGGGTACAATGCCCAACAACAGATGTTGTCCCAAACCACGAGCGGCCGCTGTTGGGCAAGCGGCCCCTCTGTCTCAAATGGACACGGGCCGCGGCGGCGCGGACAGCGAGTCCAGTTCAAGATGAGCAGGGACTGCTGTTGGGCATCGTACCCGTTCTTTCTGTACCCATTTCGCTCGTGCCGATCATCGGGGCCTGCGGGGTTGGCTTCCCGGCCCTCCCCCGCCCCCCACCTGGCCCTCAGGGTGGCTCGCCGACCACGCCCTTCGGAGGCCCCCAACAGGAGCCGACGCAGATGGGGTCGAAGGACCCCGAGGCATCGGCGACCACGCGCCCAAGGAAGGCACACGGCACCAGCATGTCTTTGTGCGCCCCACCTCACCCCAGCGCGGGCCTTCGTGTCTGAGCGCCGCCCGTGGCATGGGGTCGGCCGAGTTCGACTGGTCGGCGCTGCTGGAAAGGGCGCGGCAATTCAAGGTTCAACGGCTCACGCGCTGTCAGAGGCCAGTGCCGGCGTCGCTGCGGCGGGAGCCTGCCGCTGATGGGGGTCGGCGGAGGATCGCGCCGCATCGCCGCCGCATCGGCGGGCGGCACAGCGCGATTCAGAGCACGACCCTTTCCATCCCGACGACCCAAACATTTGGTATAAACGTATTGCCGTACATCGTTTCCCGAACGGAAGGGCCAGAAAGCGCCCGCCACGACGCGTATGCACTGTAAGAGTTCTCGACGCGCGCGTCGCGCCGATGAAGGGCAACCGTCGGGGGACGGGCACAAGGGGGGGCATCGACCTGGCATCGGCGATACATCGCCGACAAGTCGGCGGTAGGCCCCCGACAACAAATGGACCATCGGGCCCCGATCGGCGATCAGTGGCGATCAGTAGTCCATGGGCGATTGGGGGGTCGGCGCATCCCCCCCTGAGCTTAGGTCGGGCATGTCCTCCTACAGGCGAATTTGGGACGATACATAGAAAACGCAAAACAAATGATCAACAACAACAACAACAACAACAACAACAACAACAACAACAACAACAACAATCATTTTACCCGAACGCGTGGTGTTCTCCCCAGTGCCAGGGTTTTCATACGACACCAGGCAATACCCCCACTTCGTGGGGGGGCATTACAAGCTCTACCAAATATCCAAACGACTCTTCGCGACCACCCAAACCCAGCTTCCCGCCCTATGACGTTGGGACACTTCACTTCGTGGCGTGCGGACGACCGTGGCTACTACACTGGCGTGGGGTACACACCCACAGAACTTGGTCACTTATTCGGGGCGCGCATGTGCCCAGCATGGTGCAATTGTGCCATACAATACATAATACAGAGAGACAGAGAGAGAGACAGAGAGCAGACAGAGAGAGAGACAGAGAGAGCGGAGTTGGTCACATTTTTGGGTCAAGTTCCTGGGATGATGGGAATACACAACTCTGTTACATTTGATAGTGTGCACGACACACATGAGATGATACGTACTCGCAAGATAGTTGGTCACATTTGTGGAATTCCTGGACATACGATGCGATTCGTGTGATTTTATGATGCGCGGTGCTAAAATTCTTAAGAACCCAATGGTTTTTGGAGATTTCGGCGCGCGCGCACAAAAAACGAATGTGTCCCGCATGGTATTATTTGACAGGGATGATGGCCCTGGCAGGTGCGCAACCGTTGTCGCAGAAGTTCGAAAAAGTTGCTCGCAAAAGCCCGTTTGACAGAAATGTTTAAAAAGTGTTGGGTTTCCTACGAATCCGCAAGAGCGCGCGGGATGAGATTTTGACATTTTTTTGTTGAAAAACCATTGGTTTTTTGATGTTTTTATGTTAAAATCGCTCCGAACACTAAGCTTTTGGAAGGATTTCGTCTTGCGCGCGCGAATGTCCACTTTACCTTATTTTTTGCAAGGGATTCTTGAAATTTGATTATATTAGAACAAGAAATGTCATTTTATAGTGTTTTTTGCAAGGGAAAACGGATTACAACAAAACAACCGGATCTTGATGACATCGTTTACCTGAGGCTTCCTCACGAAAATGATGAAAATGTAGCTGCGGCCTAGGCGGCGCAGGGGGGCCGTGCACCAGGGGCCCAACAATAATTATTCTTTAGAATTAATAATGTTCAACAACAACAACAACAACACAACGACAACGACAACGACAACACAACGACACAACAACAACAACAACAACAACAACAACAACAACAACAACAAATTACTAGCACGTGGGGACACTCCGTTCTCACCAGTGCCAGGGTTTTCATAGGAGGCGGGCAATACCCCCACTTTGTGGGGGGGCCGGTTCAAGCTCTACCAATTTCCAAACGACTCTTCGCCACCACCCACACCCAGCTTCCCGCCCTATGACGTTCGGACACTTCACTTCGTGGCCTGCGGACGACCGTGGCTACTACACTGGCGCATGGGTACAGTGACTTGTTGTGGTAACATTTTCTGGACGCTAGCTTAGTATACGACTTTTCCCCCTGTTCCAACACTGGACACCTGTACTGGTTTTTGGTGGTAACGTGTTCCTGACGCTAGAATAGGAAACCACGGTAAACCAGTACGACGCCGGTACTGTCTGTAGGTCCTACAATGATATGGACTGCTTTGGCTGGTGAGGCGCTAGCTTTGGCTGGTGGGGTTTTGGATGTTGCGCGGTGCTAAAATTCCTAAGAAACCCAATGGTTTTTGAAGATTTCGGCGTGCGCGCGCGAAGAAAAAACGAATGTGTCCCGCATGGTATTATTTGACAGGGATGATGGCCCTGGCAGGTGCGCAACCGTTGTTGGAGAAGTTCGAAGCACGTGAAAAAGTTGCTCGCAAAAGCCCGTTTGACAGAAATGATTAAAAAAGTGTTGGGTTTCCTACAAATCCGCAAGAGCGCGCGGGATGAAATTTGACACTTTTTTTTTGAAAAAAAAACATTGGTTTTTTTGATGTTTTTATGTTAAAATCGCTACGAACACTAAGGTTTTGGAAGGATTTCGTCTTGCGCGCGCGAATGTCCACTTTACCTTGTTTTTTGCAAGGGATTCTTGAAGTTTGGTTATGTTAGAACAAGAAATGTCAACTTTAGCTTATTTCTTGCAAGGGAAAACCGATCGTAACAACACAACCGGATCCGGACTCCCCCGTTTTGCCTGAGACTTCCTCACGAAAATGATGAAAATGACGCTGCGGCCTAGGCGCGGCGGGGGGGTCGTGCACCAGGGGCCCCAACAATAATTATTCTTTGAAGTAATAATGTTCAACAACAACAACAACAACAACAACAACAACAACAACAACAACAACAACAACAACATTTTAAGGCTGTACGCTCCTACTTGCCCGCGAGTCATTCAACACGTATACCCTACACCCTCGAAACCCGCCCTCTTCGTCTTCGATCACACCCCTTTCGGGGGGATTATTTCTCTTTGCTGGGGCCGGCGGGCTTAGACGTACGGACAAACCGGAACGGGCGGACAATCCTTCGGGGGCGTACATCTCTCTGCCCGCCATTGGAATTGGCGCGGGCCCTGCAAGAGGAGGAGGGGAAGAACGAGGGAGAGTGGGAGGAAGGGGAGGGGGAAGGACGAAGGAAGAGGGAAGATACCACGTTGTGAAGGCGTCCTTGGCGCGCGCGTGGTTCCTGAGCGCCGAAACGCAATTCCAGAATAATTTGTGAGGACGTCGCACGCGAGAGCGCAGTCCTGAGTACATTGTGAGGAAATCTCGGGCGGGAGCGGGGGCCCTGACTAAGTTGCGAGGAAGTCTCAAGCGGGAGCGCCGTTCCTGAGCAAATTGCACGGAAGTCTCAGGCGGGAGCGGGGGTCCTCACTAAATTGCGAGGAAGTCTCAGGCGGGAGCGCCGTTCCTGAGTCAATTGCGCGGAAATGTCAAGCAGGAGCGGGGGTCCTGAGTAAAATTCGAAGAAGTCTCAGGCGGGAGCGCCGTTCCCACGTAAATCGCACGGAAGTCTCAGGCGGGAGCCGGGGTCTTGACTACATTGCGAGGAAGTCTCAAATGGGAGCGCCTTTCCTGAATAAATTGCGCGGAAGTCTCAGGCGGGAGCGGGGGTCCTGAGTAAAAATCGAGGAAGTCTCAAGCGGGAGCCGTTGTTGTTGTAGCCCGGGGGGCAGGGGCACAGTTTGAGCAGGAAGACTTTCCTTGAGAAAAAACCAGGTGCGAGCCCCGGGGGTGGCACTTCAATCGAAAAAATCAGCGTGCACCGGTCGACGCGCGTGAACGTCGACGCCCACGTCGGCACGCTCCTCGCGAGGATAGCGCCC